ATATATATATACATATATATATATATAATCAATGAGGAAATGGGTGACTTCCTGAAATAGTGAGCCCACCTTTTCTTCCCCTGCATACCATCCACATTTTTTCTTCATCACTTGACATGTTCAAGAAGGAACTAGACAAAATAGATATTGTGAAAAAAATTGCTGTACCATAATGTCTGAAGAAATAATTGGTACCATCTATGGAGGCTAGTGACCTAATGAGTCACCATACAATTGTTAATGATTAGATAATTAAACCACAATTTCTTAAGGAAGAGTTGAATCAATCTTGTGAGACCCTGAAAAAATGACCTCCACTTTGCTAAAGTTTAATTTCCTCCTCCAAAATGGAGAAAATGATTCTACCTCTGTCTACTTCATGAAGATCATGTAAGAATGCCATGAACCGAGTTTAAGTCCTTTCACTAGATACAAAGTGTGGAGTACTTTCTTGTTCAGTAATGGGGCTTTTGCAGCAAAAAGTAGTATAACACCCAAGGGAATTCAATTCATTTCCCTCCAGGAATTAGTCACCATGGACTTACTGGGGTTTCCTTATTCGACACTTGGACTTTTTTGTCCTTATACTCAATGTGCTAACACAGACTAGGGGACCTAAATGTACAGCTTGGATGTTCCTTCATCTGCTCTGGACCACTAAAGTTTCCCAAAGGAGCATCATGAATTTGACTGGCAATGGGATTAGACAGAAGAAGCATTAAGTACAAAGCACATTCCCACAAAAATGTGATGGTCAGTGGTTTTCATCTCATTCAGAAATTCCCACTGAACATTTCCAGGGTCTCCTTTCAGAAGCTGCTTGATCATTTCTACCATCAGATTTCTCACAGTCTTCTGGTACATCTTAGTTTTGTGGTTAGAAAGTCTTTTGTTGTTGTTGTTGACTTAGAACCCACAGCATCTATCTGCCATCTCTTTCATTAACAAAAGAAACTATTCTGACAGATTGGAGTTAAGTTAAGCTACAGTTTTCATGCCACAATGTGGGATGTTTAGGTACAGAGTCAAGGATGTTGGATTTTCTAACATTACATAAGAAGGACCAGCAGATGGCATAATGGTCACATCGCTGGATTACCATGTAGTAGACCACAGTTCGAGTCCTGGACCTGGGAGCTTAAAACTCATGCTGGGCAAGTGTGCATGCATGCCCAAGATCTTGAGAAGTTAATGGAGCAGAAGGAATTGCAGTGTGATCATCCCTTCAGGGGGGGTGATTTCTCACTTTTTGTCTCTCCATCTCTCTGTGTTTCTCTGGTGAGTGCATGTACCCTGTAACAAAAGTCTCTCAAAAAGAAAAAAAGAAAAAAAAAAAGACACTTTATGCTGAGCATATATGTGTGCATGCCTAAAATTCTGAGATGAGTATGGAGGTAAAGATATTGGGGCATAGCCATTCCCCTGGGGGGGAGGTGATTTCTCACTTTCTATCTCTCTGTCTCTCTGTCTGTCCAGTGAGAACACTCACACTATAGCAAAAAATCCTCTAAATTAAAAAAAAAATAAATAAATAACCTTTACACAAGGGAGAGGTGTCAAAAATCACCATGCTTGAACTCCCAGTGGTCAGTTAGACCTTCTGGGAGGGAGGGGGCGACCTACCTTAGGCCCTCCTCTATTCTAAGATAAAAAAGAGAAGCTAATTTATGAATTAGCTACTTTGGATCCTTTTTTTAAAAAAAAATATTTTATTTAACCTTATTTATCTATTTAAATTTGACCAGAGAGTGACAGAGTGGGAGAAAGAAAGAGAAATTGAGAAAGTAATCTGCTAGGTCCAGGAGAGGAAGAGAGAGAGAGAGAGAGAGAGAGAGAGAGAGAGAGAGAGAAATTGAGAGAGTAATCTAGGTCCAGGACTTGAACCATCGTCAACCATGTGGGAGTTCAGTGCCCTTAACCATCGCACCACCTGCTGGACTTGGCTTATATGGATCTTTTGCCTCGAGGCCCATTTTCATTGTGCCTGTGCTGAAACATTACTAGGGAAGGCAATTCATGGAGCCCTAGGGCCAAGGAAGCATAGAAACCATCTAATCCAGTGCTTTCATTTAATAGGACATGAAACAAAGGCCTAAAAAGTGGACAGAAATCACTAATAAATTAGATGGTGAATTTTTGGCAATACTGGGATTAGACTTAAATCTTCCCATTCTTAATCCTGCCCCATTGCTCTTTCCAATATAACATCTCCATTCCAGGGAAAAGCATATCATCTGAACCAAGGTATCACAGTTGCTGGGTTAATTTCCAGGTGAGAAAACAATAGGTCACAGTTGCTTAGGGGGAATTTCCAGAAAGTGCCTTTATTTTCCTAAAGTCTAAGGTCACTCATAGAGCTCTCTGATTTCCTATCTGATCAAAAAGCCCAAACAAAGCTGCGGAAGCCAGCAGAGCCAGAAGATATTTTGTAAGGCAGCTTTACCTCTGCCTGGCATTTCATAGGGCAGGAGTAGGGAGGGCAAAAGTATTAAATTTAGGCTTAAAAGCTCCTCAGAAATTCTTTACACACAGAGGACCAAGTTGGAGTAAAGAGGATGACT